CGAGTTTAGCAGCCACTGGGCGCCAACTGCCACCTGGATCAGCACCGCGAACAGCAGTAGTAGCGCCTGGTAGGGTGCAGGTAGGTACACGCCGCCGTTCAGGCTGATTAGGAACACGCATTTGACCAGAAGCGCTGAGAACACAACGGCATAAGCAAATCCAGTACCAAACCTCACGACGGCACATGTGGCGGGGGTTGGCGTGGCGGCCAGCACAGCTCCCAGCACGGAGCACAAGAAAAGCCCCAGTAGCAACATCTGGCCCAGGAACAGGTGGCGCCGGCTAGGGGTCGTTCGCCATGCTTTGCACAGCACGAACACCTCGAAGCCGGCTATGACCATCATGGTGAGCGAGGACAGCACGAGCAGAGGCACCACCCAGACCTCGCGACGCAGCACCCCAGGACCCTCGCCGTCCCCGACACTGCGGTTCACTCCAGGGGGCGGGGGAACGCTGCGCTCAGGCACCAGGAAGAACTCGGTGCTGAGTTCGACTCGGTGCTGGCGCCGGGAGCCGTCAGAGTGTGCGGCAAGCAGCAGCAGGAGTACCAGGACGGGCCACGGATCCATGGGCCACGTCATCCGACCGCAGGCAGCGTCTGTGGACAGAAGGCGATGTGAACAGTGCGTCGTGCCTACCAAGATCGTTGCCCACAGCCACATTTTCTTACCTCCGGTTTACAAATGGTGATAATTTACCGAAAATGAGATTTCAGGTTCTGACGATGGCGAACATGAAGATGACTGTCTTCTGAGATGTTACGCCACCAAGTCTCATAAACTTTGACCGATGTTTCAGAGGTGCTTACTGCTTCCATCACCAGGGCGATCGTGAGACATGGCACAACATCCCAGAAGATAACCATCTTAAATTTATTAAAACGTTAAGGCAATTTATTAAAGCATCGCTAAGTTACTATCACAAACAACAACAAAATTAGATCGTCGTTTACAAAAGGTCGAAATGTAGTAGAGTTCTCGTATATGACCTAATAATTTGTGTAATTTCGGAACAAGACCTACAGCTTGCATGGAAGAAACACATGGGTTCAGCATTAACCAGTTGAACAGATTTATAATAAGACGAACATTACAGAATTTCTAAGTTAATTCCACGAAAGTATGTACTGACCTTTCTGAAAGTGGCAGCATGTGGAACCGCGAAACACCCTGCGCAGACTGCGTTCACTACAGAGCGTTCAAAGAGCGCCAGCAGTTTCCTCCCCTTCCAAATTCCTCTGTTTCCCCCCCCCTCCTACATAAAGTGAACTTACGCACTCTAGATAGATTGGACACGCGACATTACGAAATAAGAAATTACGCCAGCATTTCCGGAAAACTTCTAAACAAAACTTCGAAGAAATTTTTAAAACTTACAACATATAAAAAGCATTTTGTATTCAAATATTATAGCTAGACAACGGAAGTAACAGACACAAAAGCACGATGAGAATGTTGTACACATTTCTTATTTACCAGTTTATGCTACATACCTCGCCCATCTCAATCCCTCGCCAATTTCTTGTTATGGTGCTATTTTACCTGCATCAGAAGCAAATATCTTTCTCTGAATGAGTAAAATAAAATAAACGCCTTACTGCCACAGCGGACAACACCAACCGGTAGAATATGCTTAATGATTTTGGGAGAAATGAAACCAGGAAAAATCATGGATACAAATTCGCTTAAGTGACATCACATTGTTATCTCCGTGCGCTGCTCCGGTTGGCATGGTACAATTCCCGGGTGCCATTTCTCATGCTCAGGGTATTCAGAACAATTGTCCTGCGTTCCACTTTCAGTTCCCACCTAACACAGACCTCCAAAAAATTACGTAAGAGCACAACTTCCTCATAGTTCTAAATACGCTGCTGGTTGTCTAATTATTTAACTTTCTCATGTATGCACTTAGTTACAGCAGCGATAGTTAATTAGTCATTGAAAAAGGGGGGAATTATTTGTGAAGATTTTGTCAGTCGGTTATCTTTGAGGCACCTCTGAGCCAGAAAGATAGATTTTTTTTTAAAAAAAATTTCGTCTGTCTGTGCACTACTTTAGAGCCTGAAAGCTCGAGTGTTATTCACGAAATGCATGTCTTATTAACAGCGGTCATGTCAGGACGTGAAGTTGTCAGAGAGCTATGCTAGAACGTGCTTTGTGAATCAAGAGTTCTTTTGCAGGGCAATCATTTTGTAGTCTGTGACCACCACGCTCAAGCACGTTCTATTTATGTTCTAAATGTTGTGAAAAACAGGAGAAGTTTCAATATTGCGTTCCAGCTTCAGGGTGCGCTATTCTATTCAAGAAGCACCACGAGAAAACCATTCACTTAAGTCTTTACCATTTCGGTAGCAGGAAACACATTTCAACATCTTCAGAATTTATTTATTTATTTAATATCTTCTGCATTTTATATCCTTGTTTTAAACACATCCTACACCCATACAAATTAATGACAATAATTCACCTGAGAGTTGATAAATCGTTATTCAATAAATATGTGTATGCCTTTCGATGCATCCATCATTCACTCGTGGCTTCA